CACCACCATCACCATCACCACCATCACCACCATCATCATCATCATTTATGTGTAGTGTATGTGTAGGTCAAAGAACAACTTTTAGAAGTCAGTTCTCTTTTTTCATCTTTGTGTGGGTTCTAGTTCTAAGGATCATACTTGGGCTCTTGGGCTTATATGGCAAGCACCTTTACCTAATGAGCTATCTTGCCAGCTTGTCTGTTAGTTTGTCTGTCTGTCTGTCTGTCTGTCTGTCTGTGTGTCTGTCTATCAACAGGGTCTCACCATGTAATGTAGGCTGCCTTCAAACCTACTATCCTCCCAAATGCCCAGATTACAAGCGTGTGCTACTGTGCCTGACCCAAGTACTTCATATTTGGGAAAGTCGTTTCACAAGGCACCGTTAGGAATTAAAGAGCTCGCCATTAGAACTGAATAGCTGACCAACCGTTCTGAAAGGTGTTCTACTCTGTTACCTAACATCCTCCACCAAAACAACTTCCACTTGACTTCAAGACAATATCTTTTCAAGGGATACAGTGGCAATCTAGAGAAAAAGGGTTAATATTTTATCACTTCCTGGAAAGAAAGGGATTTGCTAAAAACAAAGTAGACAAATCAATGGATTTTACTCATTGAGAATAAGAAATTCCTCAGCGTCCCGTGCCATCCTGGCTTGGATCCTAGAATACAAGAGGACATCCATAGGGAAGTGAGTGGTGTCTGTAACAGAGGAATGGTGGGCACGCCTGCAGGCTCGGCCCTGGAGAGGCGGGAACAGGATTTGGAGTTCACGTCATCCTCAGTTACCTGATGAGTTCAAATCCAGCCTGGGCTACCTGAGTCCCTACCACAAAAGACCAAACAGATGAGGTCTGTGACTTAGTTCAAGGTGGTCCAGTTCCCACTTCTTAGGTTAAAAGGGCCTATGGTTACATCTGATGCTAACTTCTAGTTAAATCTGATGCAACATCTGGAGGGCTGGTAAGGGTGTATGACATTTCTTTTCTTTGCTATCCTCTAAAAACCTAAAATTATACCAAAATGAAGATCTTCGGGGGGAGAGGGGGGAACCAGATGCTTTCTAAGGTTACAATGCAAATGAAATTATAAAACAGACAGTAGGCAAACTGGGGCATCTCAATGGCCAAAGTTATCCCCTGAATCTAAAGAGATTTTTAACAAATCCTGCTCTTTTCCATCTTTGCCAGCTGTCTCCTCTCACAGGAATCTTAAATCCCTAGAGGGCAGAGGCATTGGCTCTTTCCCTGCTCTGTCCCTAGAAGAGAGCCCGACACACAGTAGGCACTCTGACGATATCTGCTGCTTAAACAAATGGGTCACAAAGCAGTAACACTCCAACAGAAGAAGTCAGAGAGATATACCCAGCAATTCACATCCCAAAAGAAGGTACACAAATGGCCACATTTTAAAAATATGTTTTATAAAATGTCAATGTACACACTGAGGAAGTGAGGGAGATGACTGACTTCAGGAGGCCCCTGCAGTGACCTTTCTCTAAGCGAAGACACTCCATCCTGCCCTTCAGACCCCTCGAGGAAGATTGCAGACCGGAGGAGATGCTAACACCCTCAGATCCGGAGTCTGTTTCCCGGAATGGTGTGAGTAACATTCTTGCTGCTGTCTGCCTGGCTCGACCTCCTGTCACTTGTCCTGGCAAGAATCCCCCTTCAAGATTCAGTTCACACATGAGTGAAACCGTGCACGTGGACTTGTGTGTGCCTCATTCCCAAAGCCTCCTTCCCAGCGGCTGGGGCCAGGAGCAGCGGCTGCAGCGTTTGTACTCCTGCTAAGATCCAGGTTCCATGGACACATCTGGCCAGAGGAGGAGGGTGAGGAGCAAGGCAGAGGCTGGCAGGGAGTATCCTGTGTCTCGAGGTCACTCACCCTTCCCCCAGAGGCTCAGTTTTGTCATGGGGGGCTAGGGGGCGGGGAGAAGCAGAGGTCAGGAACTGGGTTGAAAGCCTTTCTTCCTGGAGTTGGAAGCTAATGTCTGCCATCAGATCCCGCTGATTGCCAAATGATGTGAAAATCTGTCACGAGTCCCAGGTGGTCCCAGGGACTGAGGAGGTGGTTAGCTAATGATCTTAAAGAAAAGACTCTGGAGCTGGAGCTGAACTAAAAAACCAAGTGTGTGCATTCCCTCAAGACCTCCTTTAGCATGAGGCCACTTTATAAGGTGGGCCATGACATTGCTGCCAGTGTGCATTCTCCCTTATGAAGGCCTGTTAGGGTAAGAGATCCACAGGGTCTGGTCACCAAACCCTGATTCCCATCCTCTTCTATCATTAGTAGGACAGTCCCAGAGGCATGAGAGGAATCACTAAACACCATTCCTGAAGAACGGTTTTAGTCTAGAACCCTTGTGTCCTTTCCTCCAACTTCCTTGACTCTTCCTGGAATGCAGATGAAACAACCAGAGCTTGAGCAGCCCTTTTGGACCGTGAGATGTACTGCTGATGAGATTCAGGAGCTCACAGGCCAAGCCTGAGATCCTGGTGACAAGGAACGCACACTTCTGAGAAGGAAGCCTTCCCTCTCACTGCAGCCTCTACTGCAGTTCTCAGCTGCAGCAAGACTCATCTTAGTCACTGACAAATTTGCCAGCAGACTTAATTAGCAACTTTTGCCATGCAGTGGTAGTGCACACTTTTAATCCCAGCACTAGGGAGACAGGGGCAGGCAGATCTCTGTGAGTTCAAGGCCAGCCTGGTCTACAGAGTAAATTCTAGGACAGCCAGGGCTACACAGAGAAACTTTGTCTTGAGAAAGAAGAGGAGGAGGAGGGGGAGGAGGGAGGAAGAGGAAAAAAAGGAGGAGGAGGAGGAGGAGGAGGGAGAGGAGGAAGAGGAGGAGGAGGAGGAGGAGGAAGAAGAAGAAGAAGAAGAAGAAGAAGAAGAAGAAGCACCATCACTACCACCATACTTCTGATTATTAATTTGAAAATAGTCATTTTCTTTAGGTTCTGAACTCTTTCAAGAAGTCTCCTCTATCCCATGAGGCCTGTGTCCTGGTAGCAGCTACATAAGGCGTAGACAGAATGTAGCTGGAGACATAAACAGTCTTCTCCTTCTCCTTCTCCTTCTCCTTCTCCTTCTCCTTCTCCTTCT